AATTACTTACTACTATATATATATATATATATATATATATATATATATATATATATATATTATCAATGTTCAAGAATTTATTGATGACTAAAAAGAAATTACATCAGAAGATACAGTAAAAGAAGGAAGAGAAACCCCCTTTTGGCTGAGGCATCAACAACACCATTAGTTTCATGGTAGACATAAAAAAAGGACAAAGAAAAACACACTGAAACATCCATTACCTGATGCCATAAAGATCGTAGTACCCAGGGTACCTTGTGCTCATACCTCCACCAATGAATGACATTCAAATAATCTCCTTCAATCAAACACGTGTTATCCAAATTCCTCTCCTTGAAAAGTACCATGCCTCTAAGTGAAGCGCAAAGTTCCGCAAAATTAGCCCTAGCATTACCAATCGGACCCGCATAGGAGAGTAAGACACTACTAAAACAATCTCGAAAGACACCGCCAATGCCAGCTAGGCCCGGATTACCAAAGGAACTCCCATCAAAATTTAGCTTCAGACATCCCAAAAGAGGGGCAAGCCATAACCCCTGTGGTCGAGATCTATACAAGCCAAGGGAGAAAAGATTTGGAAGAGTAACCAGAATATCCACTTTAGAAATCCCTCACCCCTCCTTGGAAACTGAGAGACAATACTAAATAGAAAGTTTGATTAAGTGAACTAACTTGTCAAAGCACAAAACTGATCCCTCAAAGGTTCTTCTATTTCTGTCCTTCCAAACTTCCCAAAGTATAATACCTTTTGACATTTTCCAGATCACACTACCAATTTTAGGGATGAAAGGGAGATTAAAATGATCAACAAAATCGAGGACACTTTGAGGCAATACGAAGGACACTCCTACCAAACCCATCAACCAATGCCACAATCTAGAGGTGAAGGGGCAATGTAACAAGATGTGTGCCACTGATTCCCCATCTTGTTTACAAAGCAGACAAATATTAGGCAAAATTTTGCTCCTTTTTTGAAGGTTATCAATGGTCAATATTTTTTCTAGTGTAGCCAGCCAAACAAAAACTTGGATTTTGTCGGGAATTGACCACTTCCAAATTTGAGCAATTTTAGGACAAGACCATCTCTACCGATCATGGAAGAATAGATTATAGCAAGAGTTCACCGAAAAAATACCATTACTTTCAATCTCCCAAATAAACATGTCCTCTGCTTGGTTTGAGATATACACCTGCTCCAACAGTTCCATAAGTGAGCACCACTAAGTTACCAGAACGTTACTTAAATGCCGATAAATGAGAGGTATATTCCAGGAAAATTGGTTGCCACTCAAATCAAAATATTGGGGTTAGAAGCCACTTGGAAAAGATCAGCGAATGCAGATTTCAAGGGATAGTCACCAAGCCATTTGTGATGCCAAAATGACACATGTGACCTACTTTCAACACTTCATCTAAAATAACCAGAGATCATCGGCTTACAATTATAGATAACCCTCCACATAAAAGACGTCTCCCTGCCTCTGCCACCACCTAAACCATAAGACTTCAGTCCATATTTAGTACCCAAACCTTGGTACCAAAGATGGTTTTTCAAGTGAGTGCTCCTCCACTACCATTTACGCAACAATGCTTGATTAAACTTTCTATTATTACGAACACCCAAACCACCTTTACACTGAGGGGTACAGACTCTATCCCATCTAAGTAGGTAGAACTTCCTATTCTCACCAGAAGAATCCCACAAGAAATCTCTCATCATTTTCTTAATTCTTTTCCCAACCAAGGCTGGAATTTGAATCACAGACATCTGAAAAACTGGAAGATTGGCCAGACAAGATCTTAAGAGAGTTACCCCACCCCCCAAGGGATAGATATTTTTGCTTGCACAGATCTAATTTGAGTTGCACCATTTCAATAATCCTATCCCAAACCTTAATGGAAAATCTTGAATTAGAAAGTGGTAACCCCAAATAGGTAATGGGAGAGCATTCAACTTTGAAACCAAGTACCAAGGCCAAATTATTTAAAGTTCCCCCTGCACAATTGATACCCACTAAAGATGATTTATGAAAATTAACTTTGATCCCCATAAAAACTTCGCAAATTTCCAAAAATCTCGCAATATTCTCCAACTGAACTGCCTCTGCATTACAAAAATTAAGAGTATCATCAGCATAATGCAAATGAGAGACAATAATATTAGAATTTACAATCTTGAAACCCATAAAAGAATCCAATTTTTCAACTCTTGCCAACATAAGGCTAAAAAATTATGCATAAATGGTTAAGAGGAAAGGAGAGAGAGGATCGCCCTAGCGCAACCCTCTAGAGGCTTTGGAAAAATCAATTAGACTCCCTTTAAATAGTATAGAGAAATGAGCAGAAGAGTGGCATCCATAGATCCAGCTTCTCCATCTAACTCCAAAACCCATCAACTTCATAATGTCTAACAACACCTCCCATTCTACCCTATCATATGCATTTTTCATGTCCAATTTTGGTAATACACCCACCTTCTTACTAAGTACCCGAGAATGGATACATTATTGTGCCACAAGGACACTATCGCTAATCTGACAATATTGAATAAAGGCAGATTGTGTGGTAGAGATAAGGAAAGAAAGGACCCCTCTAAGGCGCTCCGTTAGAACTTTAGCAATGATTTTATAAACACTAGCAAGCAAACTGATAGGTCTAATATCTGAAAGTTTATTAATCACTGATTTTTTTGGAATCAGGGCCAGGAATGTAGAGTTAATCCCTTTAAAAATGAGACCTCTGATGAAAACTCTTTGACCAACAACAACATCTCATCTTTAATAATATTCAAAAAGTTTTGGAAGAAGATTAAAGGAAAGCCATTTGGGCCTGGCACCTTCTCTCTTGACAGTGCAAAGATCGCACTTTTTTAGTTCCTCCTAGGCAATATCCCTCTCAAGCAGAGCTATTTACTCCTCATTGAGCACTTTAAAAGGGACATTAGAGAAATTAGGGGTCAGAATTACCTCCTTAGAAAAAGCATTTTTGAAATGCTGAATAACTCCCCCTTCCATAGCCACAATATCTTAATCATCAACTCTAGGGATACTAAGCCCCGATATATCATTTTGCCTCCTCCTGACATTTGCAATAGCATGAAAATACTTCATATTAAGGTCACATTCCTTCAACCATTTGTTACGGGATCTTTATTTCTAATAGCTGTTTCAAAAGCTCCAGATACAAATTTTTTTTGGCAAGTTTGAATATGAAAAGTATTTGGTAGGTTTTAATTATAAAGTATTTGTGGTAAGTTCTTTATTGCCTTAAATTAGAATTTGACAGGTTTCAATTATAAAGCATTTGTGGTAAGTTCTTTATCACCTTAAATTAGAATTTGGCAAGTTTCAATTATAAAAAATTTA